ACCTCCATGCAATAGCTTCTTTCTCCCATGTCTAAGTATAGACCTCCTTGGCACATGAGTATACGAGTCAGGTGGAGAGCTGGGAGGTGGTGGTGGTGCACGATTTTAATTCCAGCGCTTCAGAGGCAGAAGCAGTCGGATCTGTGAGTTCGACACCAGCCTGGTCTACAAATCGAGTTCCAGGACAGACTCCAAATCTACACAGAGAAACCCTGTCTTGAAAAACCAAACAAAACCAAAACAAACAAACAAACAAAAAAGAAAAGTCAGGTGGAGAATGTGGGAAATGCTCTTTTTCTTTTTCCTTTAAGCTAGTTGGAGAGCATGCATTTAAAAATGCTGCTAAAGGTCTTCTCACCATTAGCTGTAGTTAAGAACAGCCACAAACCATAGAGAGTGTACGTACATGAAAGTCTTTTTTCCAGGAGCAACCCTTCACCCATATGTCAACTATAGCCTACAAACTGTACTCTGTGCCAAGTGGAGATACCTCAAAGGAGAAGAAAGAGCCCAAGCATACCTTGATTGTTCTTCCAGACTCACCAATAAGAAAACTCACTACTTTCCCAATTTCTGGGACTAGTGAGAAGACAAATGAAAGTCCTTTGAGAGAGAGACAGGAGATGTCTGAATGGAAACCCAAGGGTGGGGAAAGGAGATTCCCCTAATGTATGTGTGGATACCACTTGGAATGTGTTTGTCTTTCTTTCTTTCTTTCTTTTTTTTTTTTTTTTTGGTTTTTACGAGACAGGGTTTCTCTGTATTGTTTTGGAGGCTGTCGGTCCAGCCCGGCCTCGAACTCATAGAGATCCGCCTGCCTCTGCCTCCCGAGTGCTGGGATTAAAGGTGTGCGCCACCACCGCCCGGCGTGTTTGTCTTTCTTAATTAACATTTGAAGCCGCTCCTGTGCGCTAATCCTTGGATTACAAGAACAGGCTGCAGTAATGAGAAATCATTTATCGGGGACCATGTGGCACCCAGAAGGGAAAGGATGACATCAAATGTCACAAGTTAAAGTGGGGTAGGTTGAAAAAATAAAAGGCTGCTATGAAGCACTTAGCATCATGTCGTTAACCCTTCTTTTTAACTTTAGTATTTTGATCTCAAATAAATATTTGTGTATTAAAGCAAGGCTTGGTAGCACATGCCTTTAATCCCAGCACTTAGAAGGCAGAGGCAGGTAGATTTCTGTGATTTTTGAGGCCAGCGTGTTCTATATGGTGAGTTCTAGGATAGGACAGGGTCACACAGAAAGACCCTGTCTAAAACAAACAAACAAAAAACCAATTAATATTTATATTGAATTGAACATTGAAATAAGAAAAGCTGTCTGCTTTGATGTCCACTAGTGCAGGAGGATTGGCAGACCCTGTTCATCTGTAAATCTTACCCATTGTTGGGAGGTCCGGGGAGCTAGTATGTTTTCCTGAGTGTGACACACACTTCAATACGTTTCCACATTTTTTTCCTAAGACTTGTACTGAACCTGCTTATGCCACTTGTGCTTATTAGCTATGTAATTTGGTTACTGTATAAAACAATGGAATGTGAGTGAGAACAGAAAACTATCTCAAGGAAAACATTTCAAGCCTTTGATAAACTGTATAAAAGATAGGCTGCTAAAAGTAGCCGCAGTTGAGTTAAGCATGAATGAGACAGCCCTAAAAGATGGAGGACACCATAAAATACCAGGTTCTTTATTCTGAGTGCTTTGTTGGTGGTGTTAAATTCTTGCTTCTACTTGAGCTGAAACTAGATGACGATGTGTGTTATGGGTTTAGATCATGTGAGAGAAACAATGCCTTGCACCCCGACCTTGGGTAAAAGGATTTCCTTTTGGGAGTAAACCGTATACTCAACACAAAATGGGCAAGACGGAAAAGAACCAAAGCCTAAGCAGGTAGACAAATGTCACTCTCTGACACTTGCTCAGCCACACATGGGAAAATTAATCAGAAGCAGTGGCAGAAATAGAGGGTGAGGGAAGATGAAGAGGCAGAGCAGGAACATACAAAACAGACATACCACGAAATCCAGGTGGTCCAGGACTTTGGGATGCTAGTCCTTTGGCTTCAGGGTACAGTCTGTTCTGTCCTAGGGAAGGTGTGGCTCTCAAACGAATGCTTAGTGTCAACACTTGGTGCCTTTGGATACTTGAATCACCCCACCAGCTTCTCTGATTCATATTTCCTCCTCTGTAGTATCCCCCACCCCCCTCTTATAATTTGGCCCCCTAGATAGCGTGCCTAGATATAGGTGATGTCGACACAAGTGTATTCATGACCATTCTGCCCCCTCACACCCATGGAACTTAAGCAACCCACAGTTCTGACAATCTATTTATAAACACCAATGTGCCAATAGAATCAATTTCTACATGTGGCTATTGAGAGACACTGAACTCTAAACACATGGTGCAACTTGAAAAGGGCTCCTTATTAAACAGCCAATCAGAGCTTCCTGGGTCCCTCTGGAGAGGCACTCTTGGAATCCATGCTCTTCGAACTTGCTCAGCCTTAGCCTCTTGTTGGCTATTTTACGAGATACCCTGCCTGTGATTTTTTCCATTGAAGGGGCTTGATCTAAAAATGAGGCCCAAGTTAGTAATTAAGAGTTTCTTTGAGAGCTTCTTTATTGAGACATCTTGGGATTTTTCTAAAATCCCAGATGTATAATTATATTTCCAAAGGAAACAACACCTACTCTACTGTTATGGGCTTCAGGAGTTTTGCATCGTCTCAAAACCATATCTTCTAAAGTGCTGTTACTCTGTGCATGAGGCCTCTTTGTAATTAATGTGGGTTACAGCCTGACACTCTTGAGCTAATGTGTGTAGTGACTGGCATATCAGCAGGAGCCCAGGCCTCCACACAGAACGCCAAGGCTGTTCGGGCACAGCCTGCAGTTTGTCTTCTGTCTTTTAGCACCTATACTTTTACAAAGAGCGCACACATCTCAGACGGCTGGTGTGCATCCTGATAAGGCAAGCTACAGCATCTACGCTTTTGTGGGTCTCCTCACATTCCATGTAAAAGGCAAATACAGATATCCTGGTCACGGGGCCTGTGAGCCAAAAACCAGCAGATTGACTGGACAGTGGCCAAGTCCCCATTTCACTGCAGCCTGTGTCATCCTTAGGTCACGGGCAGAAATCTCTTAAAGCTGTTTAGAACCTTTTATACTTGAGAGTGTGGCTACAAACTGAGAGACTATGGAAAGTGAAGTGTGTGTGTGTGTGTGTGTGTGTGTGCGCGTGTGCACGCGCGCGCGCTGGGATCTTAGTATCTATTTCCTCTGTGTGTTGGGCCTCCTTCAGAGTAGTGTCCTTAAATGAACACATAAGAAGGTATATACCCATGGCGGGTTTGCTGGAAAATGTTCTTTCTGAAGCCGTCCACTTGGCTTCTTCCAGACAACTCGTTTACTGTGTTATTAAGAATGAAGAGCAGTCACTATTGTCTTGTCTTTTTTCATTTGTGTTGTTTTTGAGGCAGGGTCTCACAATGCAACTCAGGTGGCCTAGAGTTCACTATGTACCCATGAAACTCATGGCAATCCTCCTGCTTCTGTCTTCCATGTACTGGAATTACAGGCACAAACCACCATGCCCAGTTCTTCCTGCCATATAGCCTTCATTCAAATTTTATCAGTTGTTAATACTTTATATTTGTCCTAGCATTTCACATATATCCTCCTTTTTTCCTCTGTCTCTTCTCATTTCCAATGTATGTATGTATGTATACAGGCATGCATTAGTGATCAATAAACCATCCATTGTCTATCCATATCTATCTGTTTTTCAGACAAGGTTTCATATAGATCAAGGTAACTTTGAACTCATGATTCTTCTACCTCTGTCTTCAAAGGGTTCAAACGATTATAGGCATGAACCACTATGACATGAACACTGTTTATATGTGTTTGTTTAAACATACATATGTATGAAATTACAAAGACAACACAAAGATTATGCTACCAAGCTTTTGAGAATAATTTACAGAATCATGCTTCTACATCATTAAACACATTTTTTTGAGACAAAGTCTCACGTAGCATACTGTGGCCTCATATTCCAGTGCAGTGTTGAGATTACAAGCGTACACCACTGTACCCAATTTTATGTGGAGCTGTGGATCAAACCCATAGCTGTGGGAACTCTAGGCAGACTGAATCACAGCTCCAGCTTTCTCAAAACATTTAAGAATAGGGGTGTTACATAAATAACTGCGGTAGTAGTCCTGAAAACAATAACTTTAAAGAAAACATATTCTGCTACCTAGCTACAGACCTTAAGTCAAATGTCACCACTGTCTCATGATGTCTTTACAGAAGACCTTTCACTTGTATCTTAAGAAACATGCATGGGTCACTCATCCTACCATCTTCTACATTGGATTTGTAGCTGCTTCCTGCTGAGCAGATACACTTTGCCTGTTTGTATATTTCTGGCCTTCTGTGTGTTCCGTCAGGAAGCTGCTGTGTCTGTGTTCTCATAGTGATTCTGGCTTCTATTGCTTGGTTATAGTGTTGTTTTCTAAGTTAAAATTGTTATGTATTTCTCTTTTATCCATGGTTTCATCTTAGGATTTAGCTACCCATAGCCACGTGATTTGAAAATTTTGAATGAAAAATTCTGCAAGCAAACAGTTCATAAGTTTTAACTTAACCTGTGTTGTACTGTATTGTTAAAATTGTTCTATTTTATTATTAGTTACTATTGTTAATCTGTCACAGTGTCTAACTTAGAAGTTCAGTTTTATCATAGGTATGTATGCTTAGGAAAAAAAAACATGGTCTGTTTTTCTACCCAACTTCTGGGAATGCTCTGGGATCTGGGAATGTACCTCCTGTGGAAAAATGGTGACCCTGATTTAGGTAGTTTATGAGAAGATAGTCAAGACTACATAAATTGCCCATTCTGCATCTGTTGTCACCTGGTTGTTTGGGCTGGCTACCAGCCTGATGTGTTTGGGTGACTCACCCATTGTTTCTCTCCCCAGTGGTTATCATGTGTGCCAGTGGTGACACTATTCGGAGCATCATGTTGGCGGTGCACAGGCATGGCATGACCAGTGGAGACTACGCCTTCTTCAACATTGAGCTCTTCAACAGTTCTTCCTACGGTAATTCTTTCCAGCTTCTCTGATTCTGTTATAGTGTAAGAAAGCCGAGTGAAGAAGAGTCAAAAACTTTGGTGAGGTCCCTAGATGTGACTTCAGCTACCATGGGAGCCACATATGATTTTGAAAATTCATGATTCTGAGCACTTCCATAATGCCTCATAGTTTCTCAAGCTTTTAATCTCTTTCAAGAGCCCAGTGGGAACAAACAAACAAAACACCAAACAACAACAACAACAACAAACCAAAAACTATATCTGGGGTATCAAGGAACTTCTGTGTGGGTCAGAATAGTCCATTCCTAACACCACAGGAAAACACATGAGGGTGCCAGATGTCCTTGTCATGGTAGACTGGCAGAATAATTTCAGTGCGATTTGGGGTAGAATTTTAGGTAGCAAGAACAGATTAGAACATAATGTTATAGGCTAGATTATGCCAACCTAATATAAAATATGTAAATATATAATATTTATTCGTATTACACATATGTTTCTTATAGGCTACAATAGGAAATAAAATAATGAACACTGCAAGTCGAGACCAAAGCACTTGGCAATCTTTGTTCCTCACTCTTAAGTAGAATTTCTCAAGTCCTCGACATATAGGGTAAATGCATCTTTGACTCCTTATAATGGATTTAGGGAAACTCCCAAGGTCTGTGTAATAGAGGATTAAATAAAAAAAAAGTATCTGTATCTGGGTGTTTTGCTTTCAAATGTCTCTGAATCACACGTGTGCAGTGTCCAAAGAGGCCTATAGGGGGCATAGGATACCCGGGGAAGTAGCATTACAAACCATTGTAAGCCACGCTGGTGCTGGAACTTGAATCTGGGTCCTCTGGAAGAACAGCCAGGATGGTAACTACGGAGCCTTCTCTCCCGTCCCCAGTGTAATGGAAGTATGTTTAAGGGGCCGGTCACGATCACAAATACAAAGCCTTTTCCTGCCACAGTGGCTAGGACTGTCTTGGAAGTCGACACTTCAGGACATTTTCTGGTATACACTGGCTGCTCTAGAGCCGTGAGTGTGCAGCTCAAAGGTGTCTATGGCGAGCTCTGCTTCCCGAGTTCTTGCTGATGATATATGACTATTTAGGTAAGATCCAAGCCTTTAAACATTCACCGCGGTTTCCTGCCCTGATTTCCTGGCTTACTTAAGCAGCGATCATTGCGTATATACAGATAATATAACACACTTCTGGGGAATAAAGAGAAGTTGATGAAACAAAAGCAGCCGCAGCTTCCTGTAATGGATAGCCCTGGAGATGTGGTGCTTGTAGGATTAATGCAGTATTCGGTGCATAGTGATATCGTTATGGTCCTTTCCCTCCCTCTTTACTGTTAGGTGGGATGTTGTCCTCACTTGCTGACTTAAGGCCAGAATGTCATACTACTAGTGGCTGCAGCATTGAGTTCTTTAACACAGGGATCAAAGCAGGGTAAAGGAAAGACATCTATTCTGTCTTACAAGATGAAATACAGAGTTTACGGTGATCCCAAGAATGCATGCTATAAACGGACAAGCACATTTATACGCAATGCCTAATAACAAGTGTTACTACTTGGATTCCTTTAATCTACAGATAAAACTTGTGCTGCTTCCCCATTATTATAATAAATAAGCATTGTAGAAAAACTGGAAAATCTATAGAGGCTAGTGGGAGAAAATAAGTTAAAATTCTGCCACTCAGATAAGAAGTTACATTGCAGTTTCTTAGAAATATACATCTTAAAGAAAAAAGAAACATATATTTGTCTATTATATGTATGTCTATTTTACAAGAATTTTTTTCAATAAAATGATCGTATTACGGTGCAACTACATAGTATATCTTTAATTAGTCTCTATTTCTCTATTTCTTAACACTGCTCCTGGTCTTTTGTTATTAAGAATAGTATATATCAAATAGTCTCATGTGTATATACACTTACAATTGCACAGTTAGACATATATTGCATATTACATGATATATATTCTTAGAGGTACAAATTCTGGCTCAGTTGTTACATGCCAACACTGATAGGAATTGGCAACTTTCCTCATACAGAGGTCTTACCAATTTGTATTTTTGGACAATAATGAAATTTTCTGTATTTTATCTTTTATCAGTTTTACAAAATATAAATTTATTTATTAGAATTCATATTTTTGTCCATAAGCAAAGTTTTTGTGGTTTTAATTTTTAAATCTATTATTGTGTGTGTGTGTGTGTGTGTGCACACTTGCCATGGTGTGCGTGTGGAGGTCAGATGACAATTTTATGGAGCAGTTTCTCTCCTTCCACTTGTAAGTGAGTTCTGGGGACTGAATGCTGGTCATCAGGCTTGGGTGACAGGTGCCTTTACTTGCTGAGCAACTGTACAGACCCATTTTTATTTACTTAATTTTCATTTTATTATTATTATTATTTTGTATGTATTTTTTTCTGCATGTGTGTCTGTGTACTACTAGTGTGCCTGGTGGTTGCCTGGGAAGGCCAGCAGAGGGCGCTGGAACCCCTGGGACTCAAGTTACAGCTGGTTGTGATCTGTCACATGGATGCTGGGAATCAAACCCGGCCTCTCTGGAAACACAGCCAGTGTTATTTATTCTGTGCCATCTTTTCAGAATCCCCCTCCAGTTTTAATTTTAATATATACATTTTAAAGTTATACTTAAATTTTTTAGAAATATAAAATTAACCACTTTCTTTTTTGAATACCAAACTCAGGTCCTCTGCAAGGGCAGCCAGTGTTCTTAGCCACGAGTCCATCTCTTCAGCTCTGGTTTTGTTTTCTTGAAAATTTAATCGCAAAATGGTTTCACACAAATCACAATGAATTCTTGATGTTTTTGATTAAATTTGCATTACTTTGCCTTCCACTGTACATTTGCTCAGACTTTGGGCTCTGATCTCAATTAGCCTGAGTGACTGATCCATATACTACTAAGTCTTAACTGCTAAGACCTGAGAACTAACAGCTAAGACTTAACCTTTAAGCAGTGAGTTAACCTGTCCTCCCCTGCAACCTTAGTCTGTTCTGATGATACACCAGGCTGAGCAACAGGTGAACACGTGAGAGGATGTTTGTTAAATGCCTAGCTGATCTTAGGAAATATAATACCTATTTAACAAACATTTGCCACTTTCATCATTAGATTGCTTGGACCACTGCACACAGAACTTTAAAAAGTTGTACTTAAGTTTTCAAACTTTTCTCTGATGGCATTTTTATTTCACATGATACATGTTTCTACTACAGTCACTGACTTTTAGCTAATCTACCCCAAGGGGCTGTGTGCATTATGAATTATACCTGCAAGTGAATAGTTATTACATTCAACTAGAGTGACACAAATGTAGAAGTTTCTTTTACCTGAAATAACTCTGGGGGAGTGCAGTTTAGGTTAGGGACCTGATTTGTCACTACTGTTACAAGCTTCTTGTATTCTTTGTCTCCATTTTCAATTATCGAAGATTGTGGCCAGGGATCCAGGGGCATGCCTTAATTCTAGTCAAGCTAGATCAAGGATAGCAGATGAGAAACCCTTCCAGGTAACTCTGCTCTCTTTGTTGGCTACCATGGAAACTCTACTCAACTTCTGGTTGTTTGAGTTTGGCTAACCGTGGATAAAAGTCTGGTCAGAAATTTTATTCTCAGCTGGGCTCCCTAATACGAAAACCAGTGTGGGATTCTTTGAGCAAGGAGGGAGGGATGGAGGATGTAGTGTGGTGTCTCCTTGTGTCTTCCACAGACCCTGGAGGGTTTTCTTCCTCAGAGAGGAAGTGACCAATAGAATCCTTTAGTGGGCAGAGTCACCAGAACCAGAGTTCTGGGGGATCATTATAAGGGTCTATAATTTAAACCCCCATAATCAGAGCTGTGATTCCAAAAAGTTCTTCCATGACCAGCTTTCCCTGTGGCTCCTCACACAACTGTGAACCAGTTCTAGAGCAGTGGTTCTCAACCTTCCTAACGCTGTGGCTCCTTGATACAGTTCCTCGTGCTGTGGTGACCTCCAACCATAAAATTATTTCATTGCTACTTCTTAACTGTAATTTTGCTGCTGTTATGAATCGTAATGTAAATATTTGATTTGCAGGTTAATATTCGACTCACAAAGGGGTCTTGACCCATGTGTTGAGAACCTCTGTTCTAGATGAAAGGCATCCATTTTCACTGGAACTTTTGGAAAACATAGTTGACAGAGTGTCTGTATTCTTTGATTACTGAATGCCTCCATCTTGGTGAGCCCTCAGAGTTATCTTCAGGCTTGCTGAAATTTTATGGCAACAAGAGTTCAGTGTACAGTACAATATTGGGGAATTAAAGTGCTTGAAGGGATTTTAAAACCGCTCTTAAAAATGTAGAGAGTAGATAATTATATTGTCTTACAGACACTTTCATGATATCTACTGGCATTTCTCTCTAGCTGTATTAGTTTTCTTAGTACCTACTCCAAAGGTATAGAGTGGGAAGTTACTTGCACAATCCCAACTGCAACTGTTAAGACTGTTGCTGCTGCCCTCCCCTTGCCTTCCTGAGAACTCAGACAGCAGGAATTCAGGTGAGGTTTGAAGGACACAAGAGGAGGGATTGGATTTATAATGCTTTGCCACAAAGATGATAGATGCACATTAAAGTCAGTTTGGAGCAAAGAGGAAAAAGAAAGGAAGTCTCTAATAATCCTTTGACTGTAGTGGTTGCCTGGCAGCGTTTTAGGATTTCTGCTTTTCCTGTGTTTCCATTTTCTTTAGAATCCATTTGTTGTGCACTGGAGACACAGTCTTAAATCTTGGGGTGTCTCAACTTTGAGGAGTTGAACATACATGGGACAGGGATCAAGTATCTGGACCCTGGTTTGCATTTGCTCCTGTTTCTATGATTAATCTCCTAGCTCCTTGGTTTCCTCATTTGTAAGGCATCACCTTGCAATCTTTTTCATGGGATTTCTACGAGAATCTAAGACACAGGCAAAGCAGCTACATAGAGTGGTGAGCAATACTGTTGGGTGTGTCTGGGAGCCCTGCCCCTAGCACTGTGTGACACGGGGACTGTGAGGAGTGGGTCAGATGAGGCGTGATTGGTGCTTTTCTTTCACGTACAGTCACTAGAACTGAAGAGCCACAATGGTAGGCGGTCAGGGTAGGTGAATGACAGGCAATCAGTTCTTGGGCAGATTACATGATGTCTCAGATATTCCTTAATTTCAGGTCACATACATTGAAGGCCTACTGTATTCTCAGTCCCTGGTAGGTGCTGGGAGTTGCAGGATGTCACAGTTGTTGGAGCATAGGTAGCAGTCACTAAAGCCAGCTTCCTGGCCATAGAATTGCTAAACACAGACTGTCTTCCCTTTCTGGGTTTTCAAGAGTTTATAAACATGCTAGTTGCAAAGCTTGTAAAATTACCTACAGATTTTGAGTTCCAGCCATTATAGGCATGCACTGCCACTCTGGGCTAGCTACATTCTATTTTGTGTTGCCTGGGTAGCCTGGTCACATAGCGCACGTGGCTGACCATTGAATACTTGAAATGTGGCAAACATGATGAAGGAATTGAATTTTCAGTTAATTTGAATTTAAATGATAACATGTGCAGCTGGTGGCCACTACATGAGATGACATAGCTCTAGGACAGCCTGGGATGGTTTCTTCTTACTCCTTTGAGGCCACTGCTCATCTTCAGGTTTTGTTAGTGCCCCTTTATCTCCTAGTGATTTCTGTTCATTAACAACTGTCTGTGCTCAGTCCTCTCCTTTTCCTCCTGCACTTTCTTCTTTAGACAACCTCTGGGCTCCAACCCTGATCTGTGTATAAATGACACCCAAAGGCTTTTTTAGCCTGTATTCTCCCTGGCTTCAGACCCGTTTCTAACCTTAGCTTGGCAGGATCTTGTGGGCATTCCGCCGTCACTTTGGATCTGCAGCGACACTAACTGATGTCATCATTTCTTTCCCTCCTCTGCTTCACTCGGCTTTTTCTTCTAGGGATCACTGCTTTTCTTCTTCCCTTTGGTGTCATGTCATTTGTGTTGCAATTCCTTCTCTGCTGACCACCCCTCCCTAGCCATTGTAGAGTTTGGGATTCCTCTTGTACAGCTGTCTTGTTTTCATTCTCAGGGGTCCTATCTCTTTTTATGATTATAAAAGTAAAAAATATTTATTTTTTGAAAAAATTGTTATTGTATAAAAAATGCCGAAGAGGAAAGAAAAGGAAAGAAAAAGAAAGAAAAAGAGAGAAATAAGAAGAGGAAGCTTAGTGCGCTTGCCCTCCTGGAGGCCAGTTTTGTGTTTCTGGTGTGTGACTTGCCACATATGACCTCTCTTACCTCCTGCTTGGATTACTGTGACTGAGAATGCTCAGTGTCTCTCTACTCTAATCCACTGCTATTTCCTAAGGCACGGTCCTCATCCTGTCTTTCTTCTGTTCCGCTCATAAATCTCCAGTGGCACCTAGTTGTCTGCTGAATTAAATTTGTCCCCACTGATGGGACACCACACCAAATCAATATCTACTTTCCTCATGTTCAACAGCGCCGGGGTGTGGGAGAAGAGCTCACTGAAGAAGTTACGGTTGTGAACAGACACCTACTTATGTTGGTTTGAATTTTTTCAGCACTATAATTTCTGTTGCTTTCTTTCTAGTAAACAAAACTCTAAAGTTACTATATTTTAGGTCATATTTGATGGCATTATTAGACTGGATAGCACTTATTTTTGAAACATATGTTCTTCCTGTTTCATTTACTGAGATAATTGCTGTTATATTTCTTCTTTTTTTCTAACATAGCATAAGACTCCACAAGGTTAAGAATCTTCACTTTTAAGTCTCTGGAGAAAGCTGAACTTTTCTCCATTGATGAAAAATGATAATTTTCTTCATCGAGAAAGATCAGTACTGATAAGCACCCCCTACTTGTGGCTTCTTAAGCCTAGTCTGGGGAATCAAATTCAAGCACTCATGTATGATAGGGAAGTAGTTCGTGCTGTATACCAGCTTCAGCAGAGTCTTGACACGTTGATTCAATTAAAAAAGGAGCCAGTGGGGCCCTGAGGGATGGCTCAGCAGTTAAGTGTGTACTGCTCTTGCAGAAGATCTGAGTTAGGTTCTCAGCATCTGAATTTGGCAGTTCAACAGTCCCCTGTAATTCCATTTAAGGAGGTCCAATGCTCTCTTTTGGTCTCTGCAAGCATGTGAATTCATGTGGTGCATTATACAGATGAGTAGGCACATATACATTATTAAAAATAAGTAAAATTGAAAACAAGAACATTACTTAATAAAGGCTAGCGACCGCTATGCTGTCTGGGTCTTGAGGACTGAGAACCCTTCTGGGTTCCTCTGCATTTGACAGAAAGCACAGCTCGCTGGCTCCAGAGATAGGCATGATATCTCCTAGGCTGTCCCCTCCGAAGGATCTGGGAGAGGGCACAGGAGAGGAAGAGGAGGAGGAGGGAGGATGACTTTTGTCAAACTATGTCTGGTGGCTTGAAATTTAATTTTATGGTCAATGAACACAAGTTTAGTCTTTGACAAACTGTGTTCTCAGCTTTGTCTTATGTATGTTTTAGTAACTCCTTAGGCATAGTAAGCAATTAATAAATGGTTGCTATTATTAGGATTCTGATGAAACAGATGACTTCCATAAACACATTCTCCACTTCTGGCTTTTCTCATCTTCCACACTGAGATTCATCTTCCTGCTGGATGCTATACACGTTTGCACCTTTGCTGGTGGTGTGGGTTCTGCCAGACCCGCCTTTCCACCTTCTTCTCCACCTATCAAAATCCTATTTACACATTTAAGACTAGACTAGTCCTTGACTTCACATGAGATGGCTCCTGATTGGAGCTCATTGTCTCTTTTCTCTGCTATTTTTCTGTCCCCCATGCCTCTAGTATGCTACATGGCTGTTTTATAGTTCAAGTCTCTTTCACAAACTTGATGGAGATTGTTGAAGACATTTATGATGTCCTCTATGGCTATTGTAGAGTTGCGCATGTACCATGCATGCAGTCAGATGCATATGACTCAAGCGGTCATGAGATCCCAGAGTCATTCATTCTTCAGTGACCTTCTGGAACTGTAGGGTGAGTACCATAGACCTGTCCGTGTTCCCAGAGGTCCCATGAGGTCCCAGAGGTCTCATTGCTACGGAGCTGTGAGGTTCAAGCCATCATTGCAGACTGGGGCTTGAGGTGTATAGTTAATGGACATGGTATCTATCAGGCTGTAATCTTGTTTTCAGAGAGCTTCAGGATTTGTAATGATGCTCCATTTGTAACTCATCTTATTATCACAAGATAGAGGTCCACCTTGTCTTCAAGCCCCAAAGATGGAATCAAGAGAAGATAATGATACTTACACAGATGATTGGCATTCAATTTTGTGAGGCAGGAGCTGGGAAGCAACAGGTTGCTCCGTGCCTCTGTATCTGTTTCCATATCTGCCAAGTAGGAAGGATATTATGAGGATTGAGTTTATGTATAAAAGGTGTTTAAGATGTCTACCATCCATCTTCCATGTTTGTATGTATGTATGTATGATCTATCTATCTTTTATTATTTATGCTCAAAATACTCATTATACTTTACACACATTTAACATTGCTTAATGAGTAACTTTGATGATGTTGCCAGTACCATAAAGATATAAACCCTCAAGTCCATACGAGTAACTTTTCATCCCAGAGAGATGAAGGAATATCAGAGACCCCTGACTTTAAACAGTACTTAGTTTGCATGCATCTCATGCCTTACTGTAACCTGCCATTCCAGGCCGAATGGCATAGAAATAGATTTGGTTCACTTCCATGGTGGATTGTAAGTATGAATGGAAAGGAGCAAAATCTTCCCTTTGCTTCTGCAGTACCCCAGTTCTGGGGTGGGAGGGTGGTGACAATGACAATTCCGTAGTTATTATAAGACAATTACATCAACAGAGCTTGTCTATCTCTCTCACATTTCAAAGGAACATGTGTCCAAAGAGCCTCCCTCTCCTTTAATGATTTTGACATTGCCACATCATACCCAAGTGCAAAACTATGACAATACCTCTTGCCTCAGCTGTCAAAAGTACCATGTAGGGACACATTGCAGTTGAAAAGAGAGAATGGCCTCTTTATGGTGACTGGCTTGGAATTATAAATATTTTCATTTCTCCCGTAGGAGATGGCTCGTGGAGGAGAGGAGACAAACACGACTTTGAAGCTAAGCAAGCGTACTCATCCCTCCAAACAGTCACCCTACTGAGGACCGTGAAACCTGAGTTTGAGAAGTTTTCCATGGAGGTGAAAAGTTCTGTTGAGAAACAAGGGCTCAATGAGGAGGATTACGTAAGTGCTTGATTATGAGCCCCGCCCTTCAGCATCCTGAAAACAGGCTTCTAATTAAACCAGAGGTGACAAAGTATCCCATTCTGAGCCATTCAAAAATTCCAAGTTCAAGTCTGAATGTCACTGTTGCGCTCTCTCTCTCTCTCTCTGTGTGTGTGTGTGTGTGTGTGTGTGTGTGTGTGTGTGTGTTTTCCTGGCCACTTTTCCTCCCCCTTCCCCCATCCCATCATCATTCCTGCCATTCACTTATACTTCTCCTTTGCAACAGCTGCAGGGGTGGAAAACTGCATTTTCCTGGGGACCTGCAATTGCAGAGCAGGCTGTCTGTAGACTCCCAGAGTTTACTAAGTCAGGAGGGTGGTGGGAGGAGGCAGTTGAAGGAGTGCCCAAGTTTTGCACGGCTAATTTGTCCAGGCCTTGGTGGCAGAGGTATTTTAGGCTTTGGAGGCTCTCTCTTTTGACAATCCGTGTCCTCTTCTTGGTTGGTCTGCTCCTGTCTCTTGCAGGGCAGTGGGTTTTTTTTCTTCTGCGGCAAGCTGCTTCCTACTTGGGTGTTCTAGGTCTTCCCACTCCAGCAGTGCTCTTGATACTAATTCATTTTAAAAGAGCTCAGTCCTGGGTGCTATTGTTTGGGCAGCCTTTGGCACTTGTAGCTTTGTTTCTGAGATGTCCAGTGCCATAATGGCTAACCCTTTCTTGGGACAGGACTAGGAAAGGGCTTTTGACTTAGTGGGCTGGACTCGGTGTGCTGGTCTCTCTTCTCTTCCCTTCCCTGACAATAATGAGAATATAAAGGTATTATATGTTTGCCTCTGTATTATTTTATCTAATGATCCATATTAACTTTATGATTTGAAAACTCAGTGAGAGTGTTGTGTGTCTGGATTTCTCCCTGAAGTTGTAAAGTTCAATTATTTCCTCTTATGTTGTCTGACATTAATGAGACTTATTGGACAACAGTTGGCTTCTCAATATACTTCCTAGATATTCTGGATTATCACTTATTCTTGGGGAGAAACCTAAGTCTTATTTCAATTCTAGTCCAAGCAAAATCTCATTAAGAAGACATTGCTGCTGCGACAGTTCTTAGTGTTTTCCAAACCCTATTCTAGTGTTTTTAAGAGTATTAGCATCTGTGAATTGTAATATTGCCACTCCATGCCGCTTGACTTTTAAAATCAATACAACTTATAATTTTAAATAGAATTGAGGTGGTTATAATTTATTCGAATTCTGAAAATGCATTCATTTTCCTTTCCTTTTTTTTCTCAGTTCTGCGAGTCAAACCCAGGGTGTGTTCTCCCTCCCTCGCCCCCCCCCTCTCTCTCTCTCTGAGTGTGTGTGCTCCACCACCCAGTTCTTCACTTTACCCTTTTCTGTTTTCTGTAGTGCTTTGGAGCACCGGTTGTTGCCAAGGTTAGTCTGCACAGGTGGCCGTGGTGGCTGTGGGAGGGAGCAAAAGAGGTAGAGTCAGCAGCCTGGGCCCTCAAGGAATCTAGACCAGTGCCATGGGATGCCTCATCAGTCTGAAGGCATCTCGCAGACTCAGCTTTCCTCCAGGTCACTTAGCTTCTCATATTTGCATTCATGGGCTATCCTATCTGTGTGTACAGAATTTAAGTTCACAGAGCCTAGCATGGGCGCTGCACCTCTGTCTTTATCTCCTACCCAGCAAGTTTTGTGGGCCCATGAGCTCTCATCTGCCCCAACCTTTCCCCGACAATCACGTGGCCTCTGAGCAGAGTCTGATTTTTTTGTATGTTTGTTTCCTTTTAATGCTTTTATCTCGTAGTGCTTATGCTACTGTGTCTATTGCTTAAAGTTGCATCTAGTTGAATTGACATATTATATTAAGTATGTTGAATGAAAATAAAATATATCAAATTATGACTTTTATGGCACTGGCAAGGATCCCAATATGGTACTGAGTTGTCTGAACTTTAAGGTGAAAGAGCATGCCACAGATTTCTTATCTGTTTGTGTCCCTACAGATGATGTTATTCTGTCTTATTGGTGCATGATGCAAAGTGATTGTTATGGGGGGTTGAGAGACTATCTCAGGTTGAGAAATAAATTCCCTTTTATTTTTCTTTGGTGAAGGTTTTATGCTTTTCTTAACTGACATGTTTTCTTAGGATAACTGAAACAAAAAATGGCACAGGCATTAAGGATTACATTGTCCAGGGTGAGGAAGGCCTTGTGCCTTTGAAGTTTTGTTTTAGCATTGGAAACTGAATGAAATTCCTGATCCAATTTTACGTTTATTAGAGTCACATTCATATTAGCTTGTTGTCAGCTGTAAAGGTTATGATCTTTTCAAAAATGGAAATATATGAAATTATTTTTTTAAACAAGCTATACTGCAACATTGGAAGGACAGAATAACAGTGATTTCTTTTAATAGCAAAATGATTTGACTGTTTTAATAGTACAATGATTTTATATTTTTGCTTGCTAAACTTGGATGGATTAACTCAATTTTTTATGTGTATGTGTGGGCATATGTGTACTCAAGCTTGTGTGCCTGTGTGTATACATGTATGTTGAGGTCAGTGGTTAATGTAGGCTGTCTTTATTATTCTCATCTTATTTGTTTATGGAGATAGTGTTTCTCATAGAACCTGATGCTTATTGGTTCAGCTAGAAGGGCTGGTCAATAACTTCCAGGGGTCTTTCTGTATCTGCCTTCCCTAATCTTGGATTACAGGTAAATGCTGTTATGTATGCCTGTACTTTTACATGGATTCTGGAGGTTGAACTCAGGCCCTAAAACTTTTGCAGTAAGAACTCTACCAAATGAGCCATCTCCTTAGGCCTGATTGATAGAACTTTGCTTTGTAAAACTGGTCTTCATCTCCATCACTCTTTAAAAATTATCAACAGGGGAGAGAGATTAATTTCTTATTGAGGATGTGGCCAACAGTAGGTTTCCCATTCTCCAGTGGAGGGCATGTATATATAAGCAACAATAACTAGATTTAGTGGATTTTTAAAAAAGAGATATGAAGTTGGGAAGGGACATGTTTGGAATACATGAAGAGATTAGAGGTGCGTGGGAGGCAGATAGAATCATTTTTCATTGTGCATATGTAAGAAATTTACAAAAATAAAGGAAAATAGTGACAAAAATAGATGGAATGTAAGATGTCATACAGAGAGATCCCTGCATGGAATGCCCAGTGTCTCCATGGAAACATTTAGGAAGATTATATATTAAAAGATGTCAACCAGGTTTTTGGCACTGAAAAATGCACTCAAAACACTCAAGATTTCTCGTTTTACTTATGTTAGTGTGTGTGTTAAGCTCTATGCCTTATTACCTGTCTGAATTTTGGTGTTTGAAATCCATCCACTGCCTTGACTTTTTTTTTAAACTTTTTCGATAGGATCTCAAACTTGCCTTGAACTCACTATGTAGTTAAAGATGTCTGATACTCTTGCCTCAACCTTGGAAGGGTAGGAATTACAAGTGTTGTCCACCATACTTGGCTCTATGACTACTGTGACAATCAGTTTCATCATATTAGTTGCATTTCTCATTGCTGTGTGTGGTGGTTTGATAAGAATGGTCCCCATAGGCTCATATATTTGAATGCTTGGTTACAAGGGAGCACCACTATTTGAAAGGATTAGAAGGGTTGGGAGGTGTGGCCTTGTTGAAGTTAGAGGTGGCCTTGGAGAAAGTATGTCATTGGGTTTGGACTTTGAGGTTTCAAAAGCCCATGCCAGGCCAGGTGTTCCCTCCCTCCCTCCCTCCCTCCCTCCCTCCCTCCCTCCCTCCCTCCCTCCCTCCCTCCCTCCCTCCCTCCCTCCCCTCGTTCCTCTCTCTCTCAGCCTGTAGATCAGAATGTAGCTCTTAGCTACTGGCTCCAGTACCATGTGTTCTTCCATTCTCCCTGCTGTGATAATGATGGACTAAATCTCTGAACCTGTAAGCAAGCCCCCAATTAAATGCTTTCCTTTTGAAAGTTGCATTGGTCATGGTGTCTCTTTACAGCAATAGAAAAGTGACTAAGATACGGTGAAAAAATATCCCACAAAAGAAACTTAAGGAAGAAAACTTATTTTGGCTCATGGGTATGGTACATCACCGTGAACATGATGAAGCAGGGGCAGCATGGTGAGATAGCTGGACACATGGTGCACATAGTCAGGACACAGATGAATCGATGAGGTCTGGTGGTCAATTCACTTTCTTTGTTATGTATTCTGGGCATCCCAGACCATGGAATGGTGTTGCCCACATTTAGTGTGTCTTTTCACCTCAATTAACTCAACCTAGAGAGAATCCTTCATAAATATGTCCAGAGGCTTGTCTCCTAAGTAATTCTAGTCCTATTGATGATTACATCAACCAAGTTAAAAATGATGAATCACATTACTAGAGTTTTCTTGTGTTAATTCTGCCCTCCTGGAGTAACTCCAGTATTTCTTTCCTGGTTCATACTTTGGAGAAGTATAATGGCTTGGTGGAACTTCTCAAACTTAGTCCTTTCAAAGGCTATTGGAGCAAATGTCCCTTCCTGATCTACCAAACTCTAGTGGGTGGCCAAAGGGTCCATGTGTTGTGTGTTAGAAAACAGGGTGGTTTAGGCTGGGCTGCCATTGGGAATGTGGGTGTTCAATACCTGGTTAGGTGTTTAGTTATTACTGCACATTCTTAGATTCTTACTATGTATTCTTCTAGGTTAATATAATATTGCAAACATATATTACTTGTAAACCTGGTAGAAGCCTATGCCATTTCCATGTATCATGCTTTAGTGGGGCTCAGTGGCCATCACTGAAGGCAGTGTGGTACAGTGGTTAAATACACATATTTGAGCCCCAGGATATTGTCTGCAATATCAGTGCTTTGGGATCAGAAGCAGGAGAATTTCCAGTTTGTGGCCAGCCTGGGCTACATAGTAAGACTTTATCTCAAACAAAACAAGGCAAACAGAACATGACATGGAGATGTGAACCCGCCTTTAAATACTACTTATCTTGGACATATTTGT